AGCACTTTGTGATACGTGGAGAGGTGCTGGAAGTTGTTAAGGAATATGTATACTTAGGACAGGTAATAACCGTGGAGCCGAACCACAAGATTGAAGTAACTAGAAAAATAAGTATGGGGTGGAGCACATTTAACAAGCACTCTCAAATTATGACTGGCAGACAGCCAGTATTCCTCGAGAGGAAGGTATAAAAGAGTTGCATCTTGCCTGTACTTACCTATGGAACAGAAACCTGGAGGCTTACAAGGAGGGTTCAGCTTAAATTGAGGACGACGCAGCGAGCGATGGAAAGGAAAATGATAGTGTTAACCTTAAAAAACAAGAAGAGAGCAGAGTGGGTCAGGGAACAAACCGGGGTTAAGAATATCATAGTTGAAATCAAGAAAAAGAAATGGACATGGGCGGACACGTAGCTCGTAGGCAGGATAACCTGTGGCCGTTAACGATAACTGACTGGATTCCCAGAGAAGGCAAACGCATGAATGGGAGACAGAGAGATAGGTGGGCCGATGGGATTAAAAAGTTTGCGTTTATAACGTAGCAACAGAAAGCACAAGACCGGGTTGATTGGGAGATCATGAGAGAGGCCTTTGCCCTGCAGTGGGCGTAGTCAGACTGATGATGATGATGAATACGGTGCATGACATTGACGCCGACGCCGGCGCCAAAATTCAGGTGAGAGTGTCCATATAATTGCTATCGCAATAAAAAGAAACGCTTAAGGTCCTGCTGGACGCTGAAGAACGCACGTAGTTTCATAACTCCTCAATATCAACCACTGCCCACTCCCTCAACCCGTGCGTAGTTTTCAGCATGCCCGCTGGTATGAACAAAAGTGTGCGACTAATTCCAGTAACTCCACTCATGCTTGACAGATACTAAATATTTTTCGCGGAGTTGATTTGTGAAGCAATGAACTCATTTTATCAAACCATTCTATGATTACTTTGAAAAGTGTTGCATTTGACATGGGTTTATGTTACTGTAATTGCACGCGTTTGACTGTTAAAAAATAACGCATCAGATGGAATGACATGGAAGTCGCAATAATAGGGTACTCCTAATGGAAGATCCTGAATCGAAGGGCCCACGCAGTGAGTTGTTTTGTGCACGCTAGCTTTCGCTGCTTGTTAGTAGCCAGGAAAGAAGAAAAAAACTACCAGTAATAAATGTCAGCTCGAGAGTTTTGTCACAGTTCGTAAGCAACTGCCATAAAATTCATCCCGAGAAAGATCATCTAGGGCATGCCACTTAACAGATCAGTATTCACAAAGAAAAGTTTTATGCTAAAGTTGTTCGTAAATAAGAATTTCAGCCAATGGGGATTCTGGGCGTATTACTACTGAAAGAAACTGGCCAACAGTAAAGAACTGTTACTCACGAGGACATTTGCGAATTCAGCGTCAGGAGCTGTGGCGCATTTCAATTCACTGGTTCGTATTTATGGGGACCATTCAATAATGGTGCACCCGTTATATACTTAAACATCGTGTCACAAGCATTTCGGGGCGGGGTTTGAAAAAAAATGAAGCCTTTCACACAGACGAAACAAGCAACGTATTGAGCACCCGCATAAACAACTCTTCAGTGGTTCATGTCCTTGTGTTCGCCTAAAAAGTTCTTGGTGCTGCAAGCTAGCATCAGCATTACCTACAGTAACTTCGTTTTATAAGCTGATATACTTGAAGAGCTTGAAGTATATTAGAGACATCAGAGCAAAGAAAGCTGAGTGCCTGAGTTTAATATTGCACTCTTAAATTCAAATTCACGCTGAAGTTCCTAAATATTATTTTGTAAACAAAATTCTGCAGTTTTCAGCGACCTCCGGCTAGTTTGGAATCGGTAAATGTGCAAACAGAAAGGTTGGCAGCAAAAAGAGTGAAAACACTTCTACATGCAGGAAGTGAAAGGATATTGTATATGTGCCTTCAGAGTATACTTTTTCGTGTGCATTACAAATCGTTTCCAGTGTGATAAAATCTTCGTGGAGGACTTCCAGAAAGAAACCGTGCTATTTTAATCTCGCGGCCGTCGGAGGCGTTCATTGATGGCGGTCAAAATTTCTACACTCAATATTCGACGAAATGTCCTTGGAAGACAAGAATGAGCACATTTGGCCTCATTTATTTCCCTAATTCTAACTGAAGAGCCAATCGGACGGCCTATATTTGGCATTTCTTCTGAATGTAAATTTTAGTTCGTCCGCAACTCACTGCGAGATATAGCCTCGCCGCGTCGGTCTTGTGGCTAAGGTACTCGGCTGCTGACCCGCAGGTCGCGGGATCGAATCCCGGCTGCGGCGGCTGCATTTCCGATGGAGGCGGAAATGTTGTAGGCCCATGTGCTCAGATTTGGGTGCACGTTAAAGAAGTCCAGGTGGTCGAAATTTCCGGAGCCCTCCACTACGGCGTCTCTCATAATCATATGGTGGTTTTGGGACGTTAGACCCCACATATCAATCAATCACTGCGAGATATGTGATCTGAGGGAAAAGTATGAACGTTTCGGCATATAGCGAAGCTCGCACAGCCGATCATTGCTTGTACTGTCGAAACGTAACGTAGATGTCGTAACGCCCACCAGCTAGCTGTTTGGGAATACATACACTACTTTCCCAACACCAATTCTCTGTTAGCTGTGTATGCCTGTGCCAGACGCACATGTGGAAATCACGCCGGATTCAGAATGGCGCACTTCTTTTTCGCCACAGATTTCTCGATGTTATCTCAGCTGGTTTTCTCGCCGTTATCTGAGATATAGGAGCCCCACTTCAAGACTGCCTATTCAAAGAAATTAAAAAAAAAGTAAAGCGTGGGTCTATAATGAGGCGAACAGTGGACCAATGTGGATTAAACAATATTATCGGGGGGTTTACGTTCCAAAACCATACTACGATTACGAGAGACGCTGTAGTGAAGGGCTCCGGAAGTTTCGACCATCTGGTGTTCATAAACGTGCACTGACATCGCACAGTAAAAGGGCTTCTACCATTTCGCCTCCATTGAAAGGTGACTGTCATGGCTGAAGTCGAACCCACTACCTCCAGGGCAGCAGTCGTGCACCCTAGCAACTGTTACACCGAGGCGGACCAATGTGAAATAAAAATTGTTTAATTTGAAGGAAAAGAAGTTTAATCCGAGGTAATACGTACAGGACGCAGAATTTCGATCTCGGTTCTGGAATGTCCAACAAATGTTGTCCATATTGGTCATGTTAAAAAAGATAGAAGCACGAACATTACAAATCCATAACACTGCGCTAAAACCCGACATCGACGTTTTTTAAACTGCACTTATTGAGGACGCAAAATGGACCAATCTTAAACTTTCCACACGAAGATACAGCATACGACACTTTCTTGCAATGTGTGCAAGGGTTCTACTAAAGTCGTTCTCACAAGCTTTATTCCAGCGGGGCGTGTAATACATCGCTTGTGCTCGCTTTGTGGGTCTTATTAGGCACTGTTGAAAGCAATCTTATAATTTTTATTTGCTAGGCTATAGAGTAGTAAACGTGATATCCTTGCTTTTGAAAAATTCGAAATCTCCAAAGAGCACAGAAATTTATGGCCTAAACAAAAAGAAAAAAAGGCCTATATACATAAGCCATTAACTGTTATTGAGAAAAAATTCTAGTATATCCTGGTTGCGGACATGTGACTAAAGTAAACCACGCCACACCCAATGGCGTAGAGTTTGTAGGAACAAAAAGAGCTTCGTGAATTAGTTACTTGATTTCTGTAAATAATCAGTATATTGTACGACTGCATATTGAACGTAACAAAATGAATCAGTCAATGCAGTGGTTTTCGAGAAAACCTGTTTGTCAGTGCTCATGAATTTAGACAACAGACAATGAAGAATGTTTTCTTTTTAAACAGTTAAATTTATATTGAGCGATTCCCCCTACAGTGCGTCCCGATGCATTTCTTTGAGAGACGCACTTTCTTCATGACTTGTAGTAAATATGAGGCTATCAGAAGAAATCTGTCTGAAGGGTTCAACCATATGCCTTGTTGCATTGGCAGTAACACTAACTATTTAGGGGCGAAGCTTCTTATGACCTGAGGCAATCCCTCGTCCTTCTGGCGTGTCTAGCAGCATTTTCCTTATCATACAATAGATCGTGTGTGTATATGCCCTTGGAAATATTATCACTAGATGGCTTTAGTGGTTTTCGTATAGTTGACGGTTTCTTACAGTTGACGGATGGACGGACGAACAGACAGACAGACAGACAGACAGACAGACAGACAGACAGACAGACAGACAGACAGACAGACAGACAGACAGACAGACAGACAGACAGACAGACAGACAGACAGACAGACAGACAGACAGATGGACGGAAGCATGAACAGACTCGTGGGCGGTCGGATGGACGGACACTTCGCCCCATTCATCATCATTCACTTCATGGATATGCTGCGAATTTTTTTGTTTTTAATTAAGGCAGGAAGCCTTATTTGCTTCATGGAACGGTAAAAGGGACCTTCGACACCGTGAATTGCATGGTGAAACTCGTATGTGAAAAATTGTATGGTCCTATATGAAATTCCGACATCAGTAGTAGGAGATGTCAAGATGTAACTTCATCAGGCTGCTTCTTTACGCGGAAATTTCTGACGTAATCAAGACATATGACAACAGTCACATTACATCGTCGCTTGCTCAAAAGTGAGGTGATATCGGAGGAAGTCCAACACAGGGTGAAGTGTCATCACGAGGGGTGGAAATAGGATAATTACAATTGACTAAAAAAAACAAAAAACAGCTTTCACCTTCGATTTTTTTTAGACAAATGCATCAGGGGCCATGTGAAATTTTGGAGGGCATGTGTTCATGCTTAACGTTCCTGAAATTGGTTTTGTCATGCGGTAGTAAAAATAAGGGGTCTTACAATCTGCACCATGAAAAAAAAACATTTTTAAAAATTGCTCGAGCACAACGGCATGTACCAAACACGCCGACTGCAGCAATCAGTGAAGCTCGAGATCTCACCTTGCGCAGACCTCCATGCGATAGTCAGGCCTGATGTTCTGATGGCGCACGTTTCTATCTTCGACACCTAAAAAAGAGAGCGTGTATTTATTGAACATACTTACAAGTAATAAAAAAAATTGACGGTGTTCGGGGCTCATGCGGCATCATTCAAGCACACCGAAAAAAAAGTCTCATGTCGCAGCCGTGTCACAGGCATGTGAACCAGAAATAGCACAGGCAAACAGAAGTTGAATGTGGCCGGCATCACAAGGGTGAGATACAGGTGCCACCATGATGCGCTTTGTAGTTCACAAAACCTTTGAGGTGCTTTATAGCTAGCGTGGGTAATTTGTGATGTTGTAAATCGTCTCAAAAATAACGAGCTACTATTACTTTAACACACATCAGAGGCATCGCCGGTGCTTTGGTACAGATATTTAGATGCAAATGCCTGTAAATTAATTCTATTTGGCACTACATTTTTTTATACTAAAATTTCAGGGCTGTAGTTTGCGTTGCTGTCTTGTATTTAGAACGCGGGACGTGTGTTTGGCTTTTTTCACTGTGACGGTGAGTTCTCTGAAAACCGGGTTAAATTGGAGGTACATTTGTGGAATACTTACTACGAGAAATTCGCGTCAGTATTTCAAACTGGCTTAGATGCTTCTGTTCGAAGTTCGCTGTGATGTTGAACTGAAACACACAGAACGAGGCGAGTGTAAGTAACATTTGTAAATACAGCCAAGGTTGCTTATATGTGTTATAGTTTTCTTACTTTCACATATAATACCACTTGGAGGTTAGCGAATAAGACATAACGCACTTTGAACGCACCCCTTGAAGATTCGTGAACAGTAAATGGCTGTATAAAGTCGTGAATGAAGCATCTGACTAGCCTAATTATTTCCTTATTTGACTTCTTGCGTTGACTTATCACAGCGCTTAGACGCTGATATGCTCGTACGATGGTTCTGCAGGCTCTGTATACGTTCACAATATATCAGTAATTTACGGGAAAATCCCCCAAATACTACGTAATCGCGTATGCTTATTAGTTATTAGGGGTTTGTAGTCTGTAAAAAGTTTAACGATGATGCTTAGTATGGTGACACTAAAGAAATTCAATACGATGCGTCGAAGGATTTCTGTGTCATGTAGTTGTTGCAGATGAAAACTCCAAAAACAAATTATGTTACAAAGTCGCGCGGCGAAACGTAGGTTGAAATATATCACGTTCAGTCTTTTCTTATGTGTGATCTAAAAAAAAAAAGAGCTGTCCTGGTGAACTTGTGCTTTTCGCGTACCCAGTGTTGTAAACGTCGTATAATCATTTTGTAATACTTTGTTAGCCGTTTAGCAACGTGTGCATTGTTTCATGATGGACCGTATGCTGTTTTCTTGTTTTATTTGTTGTTTTTCTCTCTTTGTGGTTTGCTTAATTTATGTCAACCTGAAACTGATGTAATTTTGATGCATTTTCTTTTTATTTCATAATTCCTTGAAGTTTTGAAAAATGACGTCAAATTGTTTTTTCATGTTTGCGCTCTGCGGATTTGTAATGCCAAGTGAAAAGGGGTAGGAGCCTCGTCAAGCTGCTAACATAGCTGCTTTTTGCTCTTATCCTTGGGTTTTCTTTCCGTAACTCTGTGAAGAAAATGCTCAATAAAACTGAAACTGAAATTGAAACTGAAACTAAAAGCAAGTATACCTTGCAAATGTTATCCGGGACTTTGGCTTTGTAAGTATAGTTGAAATACAGAATTCCGGTTCCAGATCCTTTGACGTTGACGAATATTTTTTCGCTTCCTTGGTCAATCTAAAAAAAAGCAAACTTAATGACAAAAAGCAAGTTTAAATGACAATATTCAGCGGAAGAAAAAAGTTTAGATACTTTTGAGTCTGTTTTTTGCATTGTCATTGGACGCACCCAAAATCTTGTCTAGCGTTTATGTGGTTATCCGCTGCTTGAGTAAACTAGTGATATAAAAACAAAATACTTGGAGGAAAAATACATTTTGTGAATACTGTTTTTACTGTATGGTAAGCGTGTTTCAAGTATACCGGCAGATAGACTGACTGAACGAGAACTAACTGCATGTTTATTCATTTTATAATAGCTGTATAATTTATTATTTGGCATTCCTATGTACGAGCAATATAACCTCAGCCATTTAAAAGTCTTGTATTCAGAACATATTATGTTAGAAAAGAAAATAATAAAATATGATGTAATACGCCACAAGGCGGCACATGAAATTTTGGATAGAAATTTCTTCATCAGCTGCACACGAAAACTTGCAACCTTTCTGAATGACAGAGTCAGAAGTGTGATTTCCTCAGTGGGTTGCCATAGAGGGCGACAGCAATCATTTAACAGCGGCATTGCCACGCTGCTGTTGTACACTCATTCAGCAATATATATTTGTTTTTTAAGTTAGCTAACATATCTGTAAATTTTACAAGCTAAACGTAGCATCCATAATTTCTTATCGAGTGCCCAGCTCGCTATAGTTCTGTCACGTCCATTGTTGACAGCAGTTGGCAACATTTCATCGCGTTAAAGCCAACTCACCTCAATCTTGTTGAGGACAGTGGCGTTATCCCGCTTGATTTTTAAGCTCTTCTTGAAGTCCTTGTTGTTACTTAAGGTCACTTGACATGACAGGTCAAGGCTGTTTTCTTTGGCATAGGTGGCATACCTGGTAAGTGCTTGGAGAGCCAGCGTAGTATCCTGGCAAAAACAAGCAACCAAAAACAAAAAAAGTCAGAGTTTCACCGCAAGGGTGAAGCAATCAACGTGATAGCAACAAATCGTAACGTTATGGTAAATGAGGCTGGCAGCCAGCTCTTTTGGTAGCAGTCTCACGCAACTCTACAAAACGTTGCCCTGCCGCAGTGGTCTATAGTGGCTAAGGTATTGTGACCCACCAGTCACGGGATCGAATTCCGGCAGCGGTGGCTGGATTTTATATGGAAACGAAAATGCTGTAGGCCCGTGTGGTCAGACTTGTGTGCACGTTAAAGGACCCCAGTCGGTCAAAATTTCGGAGCCCTCCACTACGGCGTCTCTCAAAATCATCTGGTGGTTTAGGGAAGTACGTTAAACCAAATTAATAATTAATATTTTCTTTGAGAGTGCCGCACGTAAAATGGTATACGAGATGACCGCTGATGAATCAAAAGATAGCTAGATAATGTGCGCGCCATCGATGACCACGCTCTAAAATCAAAGGTTGCAGTTGCTGCTCGAGAGACCCTCCTCACGTCTTTCCACCCGGCGTTTCATCTGCGATCGAGCATTCGACTGCCGGTTGAACAGGTGGGCGGATTCTATCGTATGCGCCTCGGACCGAAGCAGATGAGCCGTCTTGTTTGATCTCTGCTTCAGCCACGTTCACCGTCCACGCCCACACGCTATGGACGGTCGTATTTCGTTAGAGGCGGAATGGTAGATGCTCGTGTACTGTGCGATGTCAGTGCACCTTGATGTCCGAACACGAGATGGTGAAAATTTCCAGAGCCCTCCACCACGGCATTTCTGAATCATATTGTCACGTCGCTCCAGGGGTCTACAGAAGGTTTGTTGAGGTCTGAGCAACAGGGCTATTACCAAGCGCGTTTGTCGTGCTTGCTCGCCAAAGCGGGGACATGCGCGCACTTCTTTCTTTAGTGATGTGAGCCTTCGCCTAGGTATACGATCCACTAGTAGAAGTACGTGGCAATATGTGGGTTTGAGAAGTAAAACCCCAGATATTTTTATTGTTATTCGCACACTCTTACCCGCTGGTAGAACGCACGATGCACTAGGGAATATTATCAGCTTGATCTTTGTACGCGACATGAGGCCGGCGGTGATGGACAAAAACCGTCGAGACTGTCCGTATAATTGCTATCGCAATAAAACAAAACAGATTACTTATCCGGCTATGTGCTAAGTAAAAAACAAAACATCCGATGAAAAGCATTTGTCACCATTTGTGCAAGTATACAAATATACAAACGATCGTATGCAACAGTTGTCGACACTTTCTGTCTGAAATTTAATGGTTTTCATACTTACTCTCTCAACGACAAACTTTTGGTACACGTAGTCGCCGCCACATTAAGCGATGCTTCGGATGCCTTTATATGCTCCCGTGTTTCATCCAGAGTCTGAAAAATTAGAGGTGGCTTACCTGAGTGGTCTGGAGAGATCCCTTGGGACTCATCCTGCTGGCTAGCCACTGGACGAGGGTTGCGACATAATTAACACTATCCAATTCATTAATGAATGTCATAATAGCGTAAGCTGTTGCTTGAGAGGACACAACTTCACTGGATCCTGGCACATGGCGCTCACCTATGTCCGAGAAGAATACGTGTGGAGTAAGCGAAAATTGAAAATAGTCATTGTGAAGCATGATTTATCCCCCCCCCCCCTAAAGCCCACTTCACATAGAGGTATTTTGGAGATTCCCCCAGTGCGAATGTAAGTGTACAAGAACGAGTTTGCTGTACCGATGAATTAACGAACAATATGCCATAGAAGTGCAGCCACAGATGCAATAGAGTCGGCGCCATCACAGCGGATGGGAAGAGTCGCCTTCATGGCTGCGAGCAGTGCGGGTTAACACTCTCAAGATTAGACGAAAGCACAAGTGCTCAAAAATATTGAAAGGTATGGGAAAAGCCACCGCCGCTGTAGAGCATCGATGACAGAGCATTGGAGGCATTATCCGGATGCTCTAGGTATATGTAACCACATATCTAATTGCCCTCCCCCCCTTTTTTTCTGTTGACCAGCTTTTCAGTTTTAAGTGAAGTCACTTTTTAAGCTGCTATTGCGAGCAACATGCCTAAATATGCGTGCATATCTAACAGAAGGAACCATTGCCTTCGAGAGGCACCATACCTTGGTCGAGGCGCATGGAGTCTCGCAGCCATTGGATGACATTCTGCCTTCCTGGGCTTTTAGCCAGCGACAAGGCATACGCTGCCAGTGCCAACCCTCCCGGTGTGTCTCCTTGTTTTACGTATCGTTCCACAAAGGCTGCAGCTCTCTCCTTTGAGAGGCTTGGAACCTTGGAGAAGAAAGTGAGGAAAAAATTGCACCTGAGTATCCACGGGGGCCTCACGCTAGGAGCAATGCAAACTGTTTGACTTGGGTGGCTATAGTAAAAAAGCCAGAACAAAATTTGACCACTATAATGCGCTGTGGTTGAGGCACTTGTGGTTTTACGGTGTGTGGTTATATCCGCATAGTCATCATAACATTGCTCCCGTGTATTCTGATGTGGTGCATGCTACCGAATTCACAAGGCTCTTCGTTCGTAAGAGCTATTTACTATGGTAGGCTGGCTTTAATAATGATACGCCCAGTTATGATGACTGGCGAAATGTTGTTTTGCGAGCGATTTTAGCCTAACATGTTTTAACGAATTCAGTCTCTCGATCGCGAGTGATCGCGATTAAATTATTTCTCTTCGCGTATGCTCGCTGTCATGGAATTTCTTTTCTTTATTTATTCAATACTGCAGACCTACAGGTGCAAGCTGAGCATCGTGCTATGTCAACTGTTCTGATATGGAGCGCACCTAGATTTACTGCCTCGTCCTCCTCGGTAAATCAGCGGTGCTCGGCTGCTGACCGGAAGGTGGTGGGTTCGATCCCGGCCGAGGCGGTTGCAATTCGATGAAGGCGAAATGGTAGAAGCCCATGTACTGTGCGATGTCAGTGCATGTTAAAGAACACCGGATTGGCGAAATTTTGGGAGGCCTCCACTGTGACGTATGTCATAATTATATCATGGTTTCGGGGCGTAAAACCACATATTATTATTACATTTACTACCTCATGTATCTCACTCCAACGTTCAAGAGGCCGTCATTACAGACAAGTGCAGCACTAATGGGCAACTTTGAACGTATGTATGATTGTTACGTTTTCTTCTGCCATAAATCAGAGTCATGACAAGCTCATGAGCATCACGTACAAGAGTCGTAAGCTATGGTGGCAAGAAGACACACGCCACAATATGCTCTACAAGATAAGTACGTTAGCATTTGTATAGAATCTAAGAAACAATCTAAGCGCCTTTTTCGTCTTTGCCACGCATCTCTTACGAATGGAAAGCTTCTAGCATTCAACCCCGCATGCTCTACATTTAACATCTGAACGCGAACAGATCGAATTGCGGCCATTCAGTATTGATTTGGCAACTGTATCCACGCCAATAGTACCCTAGCGTTACTGAATGCTTATCGAAGTATCATGCCTGTTTCCGAATTCTTCTTTAAACTGTCATAAACTCAACGTCGACCAACTTACCTTAAAGCCCTCGGCGTCGCACACTTCGAGAGTAATCAGCGTATAGGCCGTCGTGGCTGTTGGGTGCTGTAACTGGGCCTAGATGTTCGAGTAAATAAACAAAAAGTTTTATTTTTTAGCCACAATAAGGCCGGGCAGTGCGCAAAGGGCCAACGACCCGCTACTGTCACCATGACAATTTTAAGCTTACACAGTTGAACTAAGTTGGCAAGTTCACGAAGAATTTATGCCAATCACGTGAAGCGCATACAAGGTAAAACACGCGAAAGGCGATATGCTTATGCCAGTGCAGATAAAATTAAGAGAATTTGTGAAACAATTACACCATGGTTATATCAAAATGTTTTGTTCTTTTTCTTTTCATTCTTTACAATCAGCCAATTTTTTTTCAATCCTCTGTAGCCTCATGATGATAAGCCTTCCTGACATGCGCGTGTATCCTTCTTATTTTTTATAATTTATTTGCAAATCAATAGTGGGTGCAGAGCAGTATACAAAATGGTTTACTCGATGCTTATTATGATCGCATGATGATAGTACAATGTACGAACCACTAGCCTTTCATGCCGCCAGGACTGCTCCTGATTGTAGTTCCAGGATCTTTGTTCTGTGAACTCTCCGTTCATTCCCTGCTTACTGGCAATGTAACGCAGTCCGCTCGTAATCACAGCTTCGTCAATCATTATGGCCGTTGTTGCCTGGCACAAAGTGCGAACTACGTAAGCAGTAAGCCTGTGAAAGTAAAGAAATAAAGATCTTGATAATGTCGATTAACAATAACTATTATGAAGTACTTGATGGATTACAAAATAGTGTTGTGAAAAGGCTAATGTTGTCAGTGTCAGCGGGTGTAAGACATTTGGCGACACACACACGAAGGGATCGCGAACGGCAATAAACCAAATAGTAATATCACAATAAATCGGGTGATTTCATGCGCCTATCTTGACATACAAATATGAGACATGCTATAGACTGCGGATTAGTTTTGATGAGCTGGGCTTCTCTATAACACGCGCCTAAATCTAAGTACACGAGTGTTGTTCTTAAATTTTGTTCCGGTGAAAAGGCACCCACCGTAGCCGGATATTGAACCCGTGCTGTCGAGCTTCCATGCTAAGCCAAGCTATTATGACGATAATAAACTTAAAAAAATACTAACAACTTTAGCAGCATGATTCTAGAGCTGAGTTTACTCGTTCGTTCACTGAATAAGAAATAAATAATGCTATCCCTTTGGAGTCACTTTTTACCGTTGCTGCACTTGACGTCATAAGCAGTCTTAAACGGGGTACCCTTTTTGCACTCAAATATTTTTTGTGGGAATATTGGCGTGTACAAAAGCGTATACATCAAGAGCACAGACGCATGAAAGAAAAATTGAAGGTACTGCACCTGGCGACTACTTTCTGGGACAGCGCAGCTCAGGCTATGGAGCCAAAGTTACATTGTTTACTTCGTTTCTGCATGCAGTCCGCGAATGTAAATATAGACTATAAACCTTGAAATAAAAACTTTCAACCTATTCTTTTTTAAGGTCAATATTTTCTTTCTCATTAGTAAGGTACTAAGCTTGAAATAGTTGAAAATTATTGGGGAGTTGGATAAGTTTTTCATAGAAGGTGTCAACATTGCGTACAAGATTAGGAAACGAGACAGGACCAGCAGAGGCAAGAACCACTGATTTCCACCGAGATTTATTAGAGTGAGAAAGTGCATATATACATGACGAGGGAACGGAAACAAAACAGATAAAAGTAAGCAGATTGCTGGCGCATCATCGGACACTTATCGAACGGTCATATTTGCCCTAAAGCACAGCAAGATAGCTTTTTTCTAATAGCCATGTAGGAGCGTACAGAGGTGTCGCCATATGGGGTGGAACTTATCAAGATAACATTCTTCGTAAAGCCTAGTGCAATAGAGGGCACGCTAGCACATATGTCACCCACCTTGTCTATCAGCAGCACCTCGTTGCCACTTAACCCACTAAACTAACCATTTGCAAAAAAAGTGAGAGCCCACTTTCATGTAAACAGAAAAGCTTCACACGTGCTTACGGTTGGAAACGTCTTCACCAACTAACATGATAAAGGCAGTGTTTAGTGGTTCAGGTGCGCTTGTTTTGTTACTTTAGTGCCAAATACACGCGTCTGTCATTGAAAGAACATGGTAGAAGAGGAAAACACTTCGTTGACGTTTGTATAAACGATGTGAAATGAGGACTTCTCGCATTTCAGCCTGAGCAACCACCAAGTGAGGTGATACATGCACTCCGCTACTTCGACTGTTTGCCAGACTCATCGCGCCTGCTCTTTGAAGGAAGAACGCTATGTTCTAAACACCTAAAGTTGACCCTTGAAACGTCTTATGATGATTTAGGTTCAATGAGGGAGGCTTCCACATCGTCTGCGAGGTCTGGTGTTTACGTGAAAACGGCAGGGTCCGTCGTTACTAAAGGTCACATTGTTGGAATGCACTGTGACTCTGTTGCTGGGATATATATATATATATATATATATATATATATATATATATATATATATATATATATATATATATATATATATATATATATATATATCAGGGCATGAGTTATACTAACTCATATCCTGGTGAATGAAGGGAGGACCCCTCCCGAAACTATTGGGAAAGAAATATAGTTATCCTTGTTGACAATGCTCCCGTTGTGCCATATCCCATACCTTCACGAAGACTAACTGGCCCATTGAATTATTACTCCCACTATATATATATATATATATATATATATATATATATATATATATATATATATATATATATATATATATATATATATATATATATATATATATATATATATATATATATATATATAGATTTTGCCACAGCTCGACCATCGCAGAAGACGCGTGCCGCAATTTGTGTAAGTAGCAAGAAAGCGCGCCATGGAACGCCGTCACGATGCTACGCCACGGGACCGGCACGAAGCTCGAGGGGCAGAGGAAGAGACCGACGAAGTTGTAGTCAACGAGCAAGAGACATTTTTGGCTGACCATTTTTAGTTTTGAGTTTACGGGCACAAGTTCGCCCTAAATAAAGAGTTTATATAGTACCAGGTGCTATATTTATTCGTAACAATCTGGTGGAGGAGATGGGTATGATTCCAAGCCCACCACAGGCAAGGGAGAGAAGCCCAGATCCCAGAAGATTGGAGCCAGCAGAATTGACACCTATGCACCAACGCACGAGTCGCCGACTACGTGGTGAGCAGCCCGAGTTTAGCCCCCTAATTGACCCATCAAGACCTGTCAACACCTCAAGCATGAGCGTCACTGCGATGGCTACCCAGTCGATGCCATCTCCATCTCACCTCATTGTGGATTCGCCACGTACACCAGAGGTCTTCCACGGTGAGACCTTTGAAGACGCCGAGGACTGGCTTGAAGGCTTCGAGCGCGTTGCACGTTTGAATGGTTGGGACGAAGCCCGAAAACTTCGTTACGTTTACGTCGCCCTCCAAGATTCGGCACGTACGTGGTTTGAGAACCACGAAGCGTCCTTGCTGTCGTGGGGCGACTTCCGACGAGAGCTAATCGCAACCTATCCGAACACGGACCGCAAAGAGAAGGCAGAGGCTGCTCTTCAGGCGAGGAACCAACGGAGTAACGAGAGCGTGGCCATGTACATAGAAGACATGTCGCGGCTCTTCCGCCGAGCCGACCAAAACATGGCCGAGGAGAAGAAGTGTCGGCACCTAATGCGTGGAGTAAAAGAAGAAATTTTTGCAGGCCTGGTGCGTAATCCACCGCGAACTGTGGTGGAGTTCCGGTCCGAGGCAACGACCATGGAAAGGACACTACAACAACGTGCGCGACTGTACAACAGATACTTCAGCGTCTCTTCAGTCAGGGCGGAGTCAACAACCCTCCCCACCAACGTTGACGTCCTCCGGGAAATGGTGAGGGCTATTGTTAAGGAGGAGCTCCAGAAACTGCAACTCCCCCAAAGTCCTCCAGCGATGCCCTCCATCGCGGACATTGTACAGGAAGAAGTGCGGCAAGCAATTATTCAACCGCAGCCTCAGGTGCCACACCACCCGCAAGCGGAACCTTCGCCACAGCTGTCGTACGCGCAAGTCATACGGCAAGACATGAGATGCCCGAGCTTTGCACAAGCTCCCGTTATGCCACCGATCTTTATTCGCAATACGCCACCGCCGATGCCAGAAGCGAGACCCCGCAAAAGTGATGTATGGCGCACGGCAGACCGGCGGCCCTTCTGCTACCACTGTGGGGAGGCAGGTCATCTTTATCGGACATGCCACTACCGTCGGGTCGGGCTACGTGGCTTCCCAATGAATGCACCCTGCCCTCGTAACGGTGAGCGCCCTTACGAAATCGAAGAATATTTATCTTCGCGCTATGCCTATCCTAACACTCAGCGACATGAATCGCGGTGGATTGCACCAATGCGCATTAGGTCGCCGAGTCCACACCCATCATCTACTTTCCCGAGGCGCCATTTCCTGCCAAGAATGACAAGATGAAGAAAAGAGGAAGAGAAAGAAGTGGTCTTGAATATATAATTTAACATGCTGGAATGGGGGAGAAGAAGAGGAAAAAGAAGAGGGCGCGAGGCTAGTGAGGAACGTGAGAGCCAGAACGTGGCGTTCGAGGGGCCAAGGGCTGCGGAAGTTCGGACCGGGTCTCGCCCCAGGCTCCCGCCCGAGCACCCGACTCGGCGAGAAGCGCAAGAAAGTACCGCTGTCCTTAGACGGCAATGGTTCTCGCCCGAGCACCTGACTCGGCGAACAGCTCACAGAGCAACCGCTGATCCTGGGCTTCAGTTTCCCGCCCGAACACCGACCTCGGTGAGCAGCCCCGGAACCACCGTCGACCCTGGTCCGCAGTGTATCCCGCCCGAGCACCTGCCTGGGCGAGAAACAACTGGAGCTACCGCTGTAGTGGTTCTTAAACATCGTCGCCACCGTTGAGCATCGATATGGCGTGTCATCACGCTTGAGAGGGACTCCCAGCGGACCGCGGAGGCCACGCCACAACTGTAAGCGTGAGAACTAGAAAACGCAAACGGTATCGGACGTTGAAACGCGCCTCATTAAGGCATTTCCTTTTCCGCGTGACATTCACCAAGCCCACAACGGGAAAACTAGAACCAGCGACCTGTGGAGGCAAGGCCGCTGGTTTTCAGAAAACTGAAAACCCTCCATCGTTAACCAGATCAGACGACGACAATGGCAGAATGACGGACAAGCGCAGTAATGGTGACGTGACATCCGAGCTACAAGTCAGAATCGACGGCGTCGAAACCATAGCGTTAATAGACACAGGGGCAGACTACTTAGTAATAAGTAGCATGCTCGCAAAGAAGCTGAAGAAAGTGCTCACTCATTGGACCGGACCGCAGATACGCACCGCCGGAGGGCATTTAGTCAGCCCCGTGGGATTGTGCACAGTGAGAGTGGGAATAAGAGGCCATGTGTACGTCTGCCGTTTTATTGTTCTCCCCGAATGTTCCCGTGAGGCAATTCTGGGCATGGACTTTCTGCAAGCAAACAGTGCCATCATCGACTTGCAGAAATCCCAAGTTTCTTTCTCTACAGAGAACGCTGTTGCCGTGTGTCATGTGGAGCAACCAATTGTTTCGTCTCTTCGTATTGTGGATGAAGGTGTGACAGTGCCACCACGTAGCAGCGTGACAGTTTCTGTGAAAATCGACGTTTTTCGTGAATATGCCAGACTAGCTGATAGAAATATTGAACTGCTACTCACAAAAGGGATACGCGTGGCGATAGGTCTAGTGAACCTGCGGAACAGATATACTGATGTGCTATTGACTAACTTTACCAACGAGGTACAGCATGTGGCGAAGGGAGCAGCCATAGCATCACTTCGTGACTACGTACAAGTCTCAGATGTTTGCACCATGGAAAAAGTACCCACAACGCCCTCAACAGTGGACAGTGTCCTCGAGAAAATAGATATTGACCGGGAGCTTTCATCTCTGCAGAAAGACCAGATTGTGGAGTTGATCAAGGAATTCGCAGAGTGTTTTTCCTCTTCATCGAAAGTCGGACGTACGCCTGTAGCAAAGCACCGCATTGTAATCGAAGGGCATGTTAGACCAGTATGTTTGCATCTATACCAAGTAGCTCCGAAAAAAAGGCAGACGATAAAAAAGCAAGTACAGGAGATGCTCGACGACGATGTCATACAGCCCTCCAAAATACCATGGGCATCGCCGGTAGTACTGGTGAAAAAGAAGAACAACACCATGCGGTTCCGTGTTGATTACAGAAAACTCAACCTCGTCACGAAGCGAGACGTGTACACACTCCCACGAGTCGACGATACGTTGGATAAACTGCGCATTGCTCACTTTTTCATCGTTGGATCTAAAGAGCGGGTACTGGCAAATAGAAGTCGACGAACGAGATTGTGAAAAGACGGCGTTTGTCACACCCGACAGACTCTACGAGTTCAAAGTACTCCCATTTGGTTTGTGTTCTGCTCCCGCTACCTTCCAGAGGATGATGGAAACTGTGCTCTCCGGCCTCAAATGGCAGTCATGTCTTGTCTATCTTGATGACGTAGTAATTTTTTCCACTACGTTCAAGCAGCACGTACAGAGATTGAGAACGGTACTGGACGCTATTCGTATGGTTGCACTTACGATCAAACTCGAAAAGTGCCACTTCGGATTCCGAGAGCTTCGGTTCCTCGGGCACATTATTAGTTCTCACGGTGTCCGCACAGATCCGGATCAGATCACTGCGGTTGAAAATTTCCCAAGGCCAAGAGAGAAAAAAGCTATGCGACGTTTCCTGAGGCTTTGTGCCTACTATAGGCGCTTCGTTGAGAACTTCTCCAAGATTGCAGAACCACTGACGCGGCTTACGAAGGAAGGTGTGCCATTCATCTGGCACCAAGAGCAAGAAGACGCCTTCTCTGAGTTACGACGGCGTTTGTAGTCACCTACCATACTCGCTCATTTTGACGAAGATGCCAAAACAGACATTCATACGGACGCCAGCAACGTTGGCCTTGGTGCGTCGTGACACAAAAAGGCAGCTTTTAGAATCCTAGCACTTACAAACAAGTCCTGGAAATATTAACAGATCAACTGGAACTTTACGCAGTGTATACATGCACGGTCCATAGAACCAGTTGAAAAAGCACCACAGCAACAACTACGGTGGAATTAAGGACGATGGAGAAGGTGACACCGCCAAGAAACATCACGAGCTTCAGAGCCGACCGAGCAGTCACGCCTGAAGAAGGAACCGAATTGGTCTCAAAACGTCGGGTCAGTGCACAGTCCTTACCGTTTATGTTTGGACTATAACTTGGCTAGAGAATTCGTTTTAGTACTCCATTATAAGCATCTGTAGTTAAAATCACCAAAGTATCAAATGACGATGTAAATCAATATGCGTCAATGAGCTGACGAGTATAACAGTTTTAGTTTGAGGATGCCCGTTCCTAATACGCAACATTATGCTTTCTTCACGTGACAAGAGTTTCCCGTAGTATACATAACGCGGTTGTGGATGCAGCTCTCACTAGTGGGACTATTAGATTACCTTTACTTTTATCTCAATCATGGTTCGCGCAGATACGGGAGAGTGCACCTCGCGTACTAACAGCTGTATATGGTGGTCTGGTGGAAGCGCTGATATACGCGAGACTATGTGCTGCCGTGCTACACTAAAAAGATCCGACAATGTTAGTTCACCACCCAAGGCGAGCCACGTGCGCTAAAATTCTCTGTTTCAATAAAGGTTTTCTTCTCTTCACCAACAATCCACATGCAGTTATTCCAGCATTTTCGCACGTACATTTGAGGAGGAGAGAGCCTGTCCAAGTTAGCGCTCACTTCCCTGTTTAGTTGCGAGAAAAGCCATCGAAATCTCAAGACATGGACGAAAAAAAAAGGCACAAGAAAACACACACCGTCACTGGAAGTTTTCGTAGGTTTGAATGCGAAGGTGTTTTATGCCGGGGTCTACCATGGCTCCGCTGACGTACTTCCGTCACGGAAATGACGTTGATAGGTGTTTACCAAGAGATTGCAAAGAGAAAAACCTGTAGGGAAGCATTCGTCACGCGGGATCGAACCAGCAACCTCTCGATTATCAGCGTGTGACGTTAACCACCCCGCCGCAAAACGTACGTTGTCTGGAGGGATAACGGCCAGCCATTTATATGCATCATGCACTGTTTGCCAGTCCTCACAGCTTGAAAACTTTAACACGCTTTCGTTATCAGGGGTGAGATGGCGTGGCAGGCTCGCATAGGGCGCACTCTAAAAGTCGTCACTTCCACGAGGCACTATCCTCCAAGGAGCGTGGTGTCTCCTGCGAACGCACTTATTAAACTCGTAATTCGGGAGAGGACGAAGGGCACTGCGTACGCTACCACGGCCATGCCTACAAAAGGAGTGCGCTGCTCATAGACGGTGCAGAAAAAATTGTGGCAGTTGTTCGTGCTTGTCTTGTGTATACATAATCATTCGATTTGTGCACAGCTCTCAGTCAGCACTCGTCCTGTGTATGCTAATTTAGTGCGTGCTTTCTGCTCGAGGTGTGCACCGCAAGTATCAAGCTGCTTGCTGTATTTAAAGTGGCTTTGCAATTTGTCGCTGTTGCTGAAACAATGCACTTTAATCGCAAAACTACCTTTGTAAAGACACGTTTCACTTTCGTGTTACAGCGATTTCTATACAAAAGGATCAGCCACATTTTTTTCTCACAGCTACACATGAACAATTGCGCCCTGCTCTTCACACTTATTTCTCGGTAATTCGCACAGTGTGCTGGCATATTTGAGAGAACTACGAAAGCAAGGCCACACAACTACAGCACAGGAATGTACCTCCGGCGCCCAGTCGGGCTCATATTTTCCAACCAAAACACCCGCAGGGGGCGCTACCTGTGGTGTTACTGCTCATGCGCAGTAGATTTTCCGCAAATGGTCAATTGTCCACCATTTCCTGTTTTAGTGTGTTTCGTTCTGGTAACGTTTGAGGATGGAAAGAGCTGAAGACACGAAATATTGTGCACTGGGTTTTTGAAGACATGTCATAGCTTGTATGGACAGGTACTCGCCGAGGTCGATTCCTACTGACCGGTGCGTTTGGCAATGCTCATCGGGCAAAATCAGGTGAGAATGAGCCTGATAATGACATATATTCGCTTATACTCTTAGTATGCACTATTTTTAATGCTTGTATTGTAAACATGCATGAATTTTACTAACAGTTCGACTCATGCGGGCATTACGTATTCAGAGAAGTACCACGCAGGTGTGGCAGTTAAAACGAATGCACATTAACCATGGCATTACCTCCAGGTAACGTGTATCACAGTTTCAAAGTGCAGGTACTAATCTGCCTGAAAAAAAAAACAGTTTTACCCATACAATCCTGCCCAAGAGAACATGCGAATGGGGCCAACTCTCTGCCTTGGTCACCAGCAACCAGAATAATTTACCTTTTCCAGCTGCTTCAGCTGAAATCATGTAATATGAGTGCAACCACTTCTATATGTAGCGCCATGATAAATAAATAAATAAATAAATAAATAAATAAATAAATAAATAAATAAATAAATAAACAAGGTGGTCTTCCTTGTTACTGTGATTTTTGTCTTCCATTTTTGACTTTTTCCCATTCTCTCTCTCTGTGTTCTCTCTGCCCCGCCATGGTAGTCTAGTGGCTAAGATACTTGGCTGCTGACCTGCAGGTTGCGGGATCAAATCCCGGCTGCGGCGGCTGGATTTTCTATGGAAACGAAAATGCTGTAGGCCCGTGTGGTCAGATTTGGGTGTAGGTTAAACAACCCCAGGTGCTCCGAATTTCCGGAGCCCTTCACTGCGGCGTCTCTCATAATCGTATGGTGGTGTTGGGACGTTAAACTCCACAAATAAATAAATCAATCAAGAAAACAGCTGTTTGTTCCTACAAGCGACAGTCTCCGTAAACGCATCTCTTAAAAGAGATTGCTAACTGACAATGATTGCTTTAAACCACATATAATTATCAGAATACTAAAGGTTGGTCTGGATATGTTACTTTCGCTGAGTCGCTCAACCAAAGGAAACGAGGGAGGAAACGAAAGGGATTCGAATACTTGTCTCAGTATATTTAGCAGGGTGACGTCGGTGTTACCTTAATACAAGGATGGCGACTCGACCTGCATTCGCTCATATAGCTCTTTCGCATGGTCACATTTCCTGCTCACATCAATGGAGCTATGAGAGAAGCTGGGAGCGTATGATGCCTTTTGACCTCGATGGAAATGTAGCTGCGACAAAACACTCTACAGACGGCGCACTCGGTACAAGTATAGCGATGCATAAACAGCGTAAGTATCTTCGGCCGCTCCTCCTTGAACGCTCGTGTTATAATACTGTTCACTTACAAGCGTAGTAGCTTGACGCTCACGTAATGATATACTGGTATTCTTACCATAAAGATGAAGGTCGTTTTTGAAAAACGCTGAAAGAGCCGTCTTCTGGTTTCCTGTACTGGAGTACCTTATCGTACGCTAGAAGGAAAAAGAAAAAAAGGAACAAATTCCTTTAAGCGGTTCATCAGAATAACTGGTGAAGACAAAGTTTTGTGAAGATAAAGTTTTTACATCGATGGTCTTTTTGAAACAATTATTTAAAGCTTTGTCAGGCGAGTTAATCATCAGTAACAACAGTGTAGCGACCAGCTAAAAGTAAGGGTAGACGAAAACGACATATTGCTGAATTGCGATACTTCTTAAATTCAGATACGCACACATACGTGAGCGCCTGTAAGATGGACAATAAACTCCATCGAGAAGAGAAACGAGAAGACTAAACTATGGTTGCAACAAGAATAAAATATCCCAAGAAAAAGAAACATGAATAGGCAACTAATCTAGCTACTTGTTTCCCCATGAGTTAAATATTGCGGACTATAGACAAACAGGCAGACAGTAAAAGGCATACACAGAGGGATATATATATATATATATATATAGTAAGTGAAAAAAGTGTATACTTAAGGGCTCGTTTTTTCGTGTTTTGAAACGATATTGGTGAAATCTAACAGACAATAATGCCAAGAAAAGTATAGGGGAAGTTATTAGACCGAATTCTATTGTATATGTGAAAAAACAAAAGTGGGTGAAAAGATAACTTGCCGTGAGCAGGAACCAAACCTGCGACATTTGAATAACGCGTCGATGCTCTACCACTGAGCCACCATGGCGGCCATCCTCCCAGCCACTTTATTGGGCGTATATGTGACGTTTAAATTCACATATATACCCAATAAAGTGGCTGGGAGGATGGCCGCCATGGTAGCTCAGTGGTAGAGCATCGAACGTGTTATTGGAAGCTCGTAGGGTTGATTCCTGCTCACGGCAAGTTATTTTTTCACCCACTTTTCATTCTTCTTATTTACATTACATTGGTTCTAATGACTTCCCCTATACATTCCTTGGCATTATTGTCTGTTAGATCTCATTAATGTTGTGTGAAAACACAAAATAACGAGCCCTTTACTGTACAAATATATATATATATATATATATATATATATATATATATATATATATATATATATATATATATATATATATATATATATATATATATATATATATATATATATATATATATATATATATGTGTGTGTGTGTGTGTGTTTGTGTGTGTAGATTAACGGATTGAGTGAGCACCTCAGACCCGATTGAGTAATCTGAGCAGTTATCTTTTCTTGGGCCCTGTTTACGCGTCTTTTATTACAGCATAATGCCAGCAGACCGAATTGTAAAAAGCTCAGCAGTGGCTTTGGCAAGTCTACACAAGTGTTTGTATATCACGTTAGAAAGTATAATATTTCTTTCCACTTTAAAGAATCATACGCACCTTTTTTTCACAAGTAAATAAATTACAAGCACGTGGCCAGTGAATATAGTAACCAAATCTGTGTCGCAAAATGCATCCGTGGTGAAAGCTTTCCTTACGGTAATGGCACTAAGACATACACCGAGCTCAGTGATTGAGGCTAAAATGCCCTGCGCTGCAGCAACGTCACTTGCCACGGCGTATTAGGAAGCACCATCTGCTGCAATCTCGAACGTGGCTTAAACAACGACGACAATGTTTCGACTTTAACGAGTTCTGACAAGTTCATTTGCCTGCGTAACGCTGCTCGGCAATCACATCTTGAGGAATGGCACGAGAACACACACAACAACGCCTCTGAGCAGACGCTGTGAATGTGTGCATTATGCCGAGTTCTATTTGCGTTGCTTAAGCGAAACGACTACTTCAGTCGACATATGACGCCGACCTCTGATTTCTGGAGTGGAGGTGTACAGTGTCAAGACAGAAGGGACATTCGAAGAACAAGCCTGTCAAGTCACTTTCTGTCCTGTTGATTCACATGACAATTAGCTGTTAAGCAGACGCTTCAATAGAGTTCAAATGTTCGCAAAAGGTGAAGGGATGAATATACACCGGTATATTATTAGTTCTCTATAAATATATCTGGGGCTAACGAGATATACGTAACGTTTTCCCATGCGTACAACAACAACAACAAAAAAAAAGACATGTTTTCTCCTGTGGTATAATGGTGCACGAGACCTGTACGACATCGTACTTCAAAGGGCATGGCGTCAAGAGAATCTGGTGCATGCCAGTCAGACAGAAAAATATTGAAAGCAGTGCACATCTCTTCTTGTTTCAGGGTGCCGTGATGCCATATCTCTTCCTTGGAATTTTAAGTGGTTCTTGAACTGGTATAGCGCATTACGGGGAAGAAGAAACGGCCGAGCAGACCAACGCAAGAGGACAGAGCGCTATTTACTTCCAACTGAGCTTTATTGTCAAACTGCATCAAATATGTGGACCGGCGCAAGCATAGAAAACCACCCTAACGCATCGACAAGATAACATTCAACATCACACCGTCACATATCACAGATTCATAGGCGGTTATCCTGATTAGGAAAGGCCACTTCATGTTCAGATAAAACCAAAGAAGGGGCGCTAATACACGTGCTGCCAGCTCTTGCTATACAATGCGCTTCTATAATTTCTCGAGTTAATTGTGACGGGTGCATTTTTACCACTTCACATTGATCAAACATGGGGGTACATCCACAATTGCGGCAGTGAATTCCAATGTGGCCCTGGATTGCTTTGTGAACATTATAATGGTGCTCTTTTAGCCTTTCATTAAGGCATTGCCCCGTTTGGCCAAAAATTCACATACCACATGAGAATGGAATCGCGAAATACCACATATCACATGAGAAGTAGCGCTCTGTCTTCTTGTGTTGGTCTGCTCGGCCGTTTCTTCTTCCCCGTAATGCGCTATACCAGTTCAAGTACGACGAACCAACTCGCCTAATCTTCAACACTCGTGGATTTTTAAGTGGTTGCCGTTATCATATTTGAAGTTGATGAATGGAGCAGGCACAGCGCAAGGAAGGGAGATGTTTAGTGTGTGGCTAATGCTCTTCAATAGGGCGACCTTGATATTGCCACACGGTGGTGATGTAACTTAAACAAAGAGCTTGGGATGAGAATAAAACAAAAAGGGGGAGAGAATGAGAAGGGATGACATTGACAGCGTATAGTTTCTTGAATGCGCTGCAGGTACCGCAAAATGCCCCAAGACACTGTAGCTGGCCCTGCGCTGTATGACATTTGTGTAAAAAACGCTAAAGTTAGCTGATTAAGTATCGGGGTGTCCTGGGAAAACTGAAAAATCCAACTAGACTATAATGTTTCGCTCAAGTGCCTTGTGTGAAGCGAGCACGGAATGCGTGTGTCAGCCACGTCTTTTCTCTTTGTTTTTTTTCTTAATTTCTTTTGTGTTTATATTTTCATTCTTTACTTGCGTTTTTCGGGTTTTTAAAAACGTGTTCTTATTTATTTCCTTCATTTGCTTCTTTCTACGTGTTGCGCATGCCCCTAGCTCGTATGCCCGCATACTCGCATCTCTAATCGTGACGTAACTGATGAGCGTGTCATTTTATTGACGTCATGATCTGTGAGCCACTCACCCCATAGGTTCTTGAGGTTACAGTACAAAAGAGTGACTTTGCTATAGCTGCCTGCGGTGATCAGAGTGCTGGTTAAAGTTGGCCTGTCTACCTGTATAAAGGGACACTGCTAAGAAAACTGCAACAACCGGTTTTTTTTCCTTATTGTTTCTCCCATTTAATTATCTCTTTATAATTTATTTCAATCTAGACTTATGCTCTGATATATATATATATATATATATATATATATATATATATATATATATATATATATATATATATATATATATATATATATATATATATATATATATATATATATATATATATTAAACTACAAGAACGATTTTTTACGGTTATATTTTTTCACAGATGTTTTACATATACGGTAGGGGAAATGAAAGGGCTGAGCGAAAAGCAACAGTGACAGGTGGTGCTCGCACCACAAAACACCAATGAGCTGATGCTCCAACATCTGCAAAACATGTTGGTAATACCTTCCCGGAAGAACTTGAGCGATTTGTTTTCGTCGCCGTGGCTGATGCGCTTAGTAGTCTTAAAGTACTCATAAGCATACAGTGCTAGCACCAACTTGCTCGTGGCTTGCTCTCCACAGTCAGTTGGCAAAATTACGACCTCTTCTGGTCTCTTGACAACAGTTTCTAATATGGCACCCACTTCGTCTCCTGCGAAAGAAAGCAGAATGAAAGCAAACTGTACAAAACTCAATACTAGCTTGCTCAGTGCGGGATGATTCTGCGCTCTGAAGGTAAGCATGATAATTATTCTTTGAATACTATATATCGATATTTTTCACTATATATCGATATTTTTCACTATTATACTATATATCGATATATTTCAGCCTACTACCATATTACAGTGGTGAATGTGACTCTTAAATTTACTTAATTAACTGTCGAGCTTTGTTCTCTCTTTTCTATGATATTTTTTAATTTTTTTGTCAGAAAGACAGGCACATTGAAACAGCAAATAGAAACGACTTCGTAAATTTTGCGTAATATACATCTGCAGCTCTGATTTTGAAAGGAAGTTGCTTCAAGGCTATGCCCCAACCTCATTCTAAGGCTGCTGAACGTAGTCACTCCATTACTACTGTATTCTTTATCATAGGAACAATATTGCCAGACTTCAGCCATGAGGTCCAGTACCGCTGATTATGTTTTGTGACGTTAAGAGCACGGCTGGGGATGAATAAATGACTTACGAAGCATGCTATACTAGCAAGTTATTCTGGAAGTCTGATATCGCATCATTCATTGCATAAGTAACATGGTAAGACGTGCCAATAAACCCTGTAAAGCTACACATATCATGACAGCTTCATAGGGAGACACGTTGCGCATCTGACTCAATCCCTTTGCGTTTCGTGTAGAAAAACAAACTCTTAAACAGGCTGGGTGAAGTGGGCTGACGAAATTCTTCGTTTATATCGGTGTAGTGTGGAATGAAAGCTATTGCAGCGAAAATTGCATCGCACTCTGTTGTGTTGCATTACACACCGCATAAGGGCACTGACCAACGATGTCGATTTCGCAGTACTCCGTGTTTGGCAGCACATTGTCCGGATATGGCCGTCTTATATCAACCACTTGGGTGTCATTAGATGTATAGATTGCTGAAAAGAAAACGAGAATAAATCAGCGTGCAGTCAGCAAAGTTCTGCATACTAATTCTAATATAGCCCCAAGCTATATTAGACAGCAAAACGGCATTATAAGACCATGCGTGATTCCGGCTTTACTAATCTGTTTCCCACCGTGAAACATTGACAAAGCAAAGATCAGGAATCAAAGCAAAGTGCAGTTAGTTTATTATTTATTTTATTTATTACATACTGCAGACGCTTAGGTCCAAGCAGGTGGGCAGTTACAAGAGGACATAGTTGAAATGATTGTTGTCTATTATCAGTTGCCTATTAGTTGGCAGTTGAGAAAGCATAGTTCAATTCTCTGTTAAAGGTGAACCCCCCCCCCCCCCCCCTCATGTGTCATTAAAAAAAAAAACCCTGAGCGGAAAGAAGACGCTGCAGTGAAGATAGTGAAATCTATGTTTCACTATAAAGCAGGCCGTGAAGTTGCCACTTTCTGAAGCGCCCTCTCTTCATACAGAGGCCAGTACGGACACTCTTTGGAGGGCTGTCGTAGAGAATGGATGGATTATTAATTTTATTATGGTTCTTCGGTGCGCGCGCTTCACGCGCAACGGGCCGCTCCCACGTCGGGACAGAAGGACCTTGCCCCCATAGAGAAATATACTATATTAAGAGGGGCCACTGTAGCCTATTCGCGGCCCAGCAAGAAAGGGTCTGACCAACCGATAGATGTGTACCCATCCTCACTTTTATTCTCACACACACACACACACACACACACACACACACACACACACACACACACATATATATATATATATATATATATATATATATATATATATATATATATATATATATATATATATATATATATATATATATATATATATATATATATATATATTATACAATAGCCTCTTCAGGAGGACAATTATTGCCGAACTTTGTAATCAATTTTTTGCAAGGAAGAAATTTTATTACCTTGTGCAATTTTCTATATCCGCACTATATCATGTCCCACTGAGAACATTTAATGCATCACAACATAAAACAGTGAAGTATGATTGGAGGGTGTTGCCTTACGGCATTTCTTTTGCACAAAGAGGCACATTCATGTGGTCTAGATGAGCTGTATATGCATTCCCCCCACAGAAGCTTGGGTGAGTAGCCTAGTGCTAAAGACACTCTTTTTAGGAGCGTGAGGGTATGGGTTCAAATCCCAGTGTCGTATAGAAAAAAACTGTTATTTTATTTATGCTGAAGACATTATCGCATCTGACCAACCACTAGTGGCGCTGAAAGCAGCGCAGTAGCTGCGCTTCAGGGCTTTACGGGAGTGTCCGCTCTTCATGTATGTTTCTCTATGTTGCCCCTCCACCGCGTCGCGGGACCGATGGACAGCCGGACACCTGACACAAACCAAGAGCGCTGTTAGGATCAAGTACGCCTCTTGCCACGTGGTGCAACGCTCTATAGTGATAAAATTACACAGTAGCAACACTAGCGCGCAGTGAAATAACACCGGGAGAGAGCGATCGCGTTTGATGACGCACGCGCGACGTAGCTCTCCCTTTGTCACTACTCCCTGTGTAGCTTCCAGCTTGCTTGTTGGGGCGAAAGAAGAGAGAAAGGGTTTACAGCATACGAGAGTTCTCCGTAACACCGGTCAAAGGATTAAAAAATATTTGGGGTGATCGATTGATCACCCCAAATATTTTGACTGAACTATCATAGTAAAACTATGATAGTTCAGCCAATTGATCATTACATGAAAAAGAGGATCAATAACCATTTAAAAGTATTTGATCATGGAATGGCACCTTCCTGCCAGCTTTATTATTATAATTGAGCGTAATACTTTTACTGAATTACCTGTGTACGACTCATGAATGTATCGCTCGCTTCGCCCTTGCGTGTTTTGAGGATCCAAGACAACAGCAAACGACCTCGTCTTCGTAATACCGGGTGGCTGCGCAGGTAAACAATACAAACACTCTGAGATCTTTAAAAATTGATTGGTTGTGCCCAAACTACAAGCCTTGGGTTGCTCCTCCATAAAGGCAAGCCAGACTTTAAAAAAGCGGAAATATGAGTGACATAAAACAAAGTTAGTCTTTGTGTGGCCTGGGGTAGAACTTTATATTTAGTGAAATATGAGAAAGTAGGCTGCGTTAGGGCCAGCTATCCCAACATTATTACAGTAATGTACAAGATAAACTCACAAACACGAAAAATCAACAATAAAGAAAGAAAAAAAGTAATCACAGGCACTATATACATATCATATACGTTATAATTCTTAAACGCATGAATGAGCACATTATGTATGGACATAGTCCAGTTAATATATCTGGACCACATTGTGGATAGAGTCCTTACAAATAGTGCCAATGTATAATATGAACTAAAGACAGTTATTTAAACTTGTGTCCTTTAAAAAAACCATTGGTGGCGCTCACGGCACGCCTGTGATAATCGGGATGTGGCCATGATCCAAGTACTTTTTCAATCGTAATTGTCGTCTGTTGAGTCGGTTCAAGCGATCACTCAGTTTGGCGCGTTGTTGATCATATTGCGGACATTCTACAAGAATATGCTCCTCTGACGCATCGACATGATCGCAGTGGTCGCAGTGCGGGGACGTTCTTCTTTTTATGCGGCATAAGAAGTGAGGCGTGTATGCAACACCTATAATCCTAGACGGTGCAGTAGTGTGTCAAATGGTCTACCGATCTTTTGCTTAGGTGAGAATCCGAAAGACGGATCTATTCATTATGAGAGTGAAGACTTTGTATTTTTTGTCAAACCAGGCGTCCTTGCATAATTTGTGGCACAATTCAGAAAGAACCTTCTTGCTTTCCGAGAAACAAAGGATGGGAACTGGTGTGAAGTGAACTTTTTTGTGTGATGCCGTTGCTAATTTGTCAGCAATTTCCTTTCCTATGATTCCTACGTGACTTGGAAGTCACTGAAAACATATGTTCTGTCCGTCCACACCGCCGATGACAATTGTTTTTAAGATTTCATATATGATGCTATTATCTATATGACAATAAAAATCCTTAATCATTTGCAGCACTCCGTTGGTGTCAGAATATATTACCCAGTTTTGCCTTTGTGGGCTTTCAACAATAAAATTTTAAGGTTGTAATATTGCAAAAAACTTCACTGCTGTAGACGATGTCTTTCGAAAAGTCGGAAATCTTTTCCTATTTTATATGCGGGTATATGAAAAGCCGCAGTTTAGCTTTCGTTCATTGTAGAGCCATCCGTAAAAACAAATGTGATGCGGTTTCGATAATTGTACTTTTGCTGAAGCGTTCAAATTTTGCTTGAAGGTAGTGTACCGAGAGAACTGTCTGCCCCAACAACAACAACAACAACAACAACAACAACAACAACAACAACAACAACAACAACAACAACAACAACAACAACAACAACAACAACAACAACAACAACAACAACAACAACACAAGAGGGGTTTCAAGAGTACACTAGTGACACGCACCATCACCAGCAGGAATATCGCTCCTAGAAAGGAAACACTAAGGCTGCGGGAACAGTAGCTTCTGAAATTGTTTCGAATGTCAATTGTGAACGTTATTAGAGTATTTGGCATCCAGAATTGCGCAAACTTCTTACTATTACCATCAAACAATTCTTGCCTCGCGGTGCTCACGACAGTCCGTTTTTATCATTGCTCGGCAGATTGTAAAGCATGCGTTTGACGAAATTCACAACTTGGATAAAAAAACAACCAAGGTGCTTGTTCGCCATCTCGAGGCTCTCCAAAATATACGTAATCTTTAATATTCCGTTTTGGTCAGCAAGTAAAGGCCTTGCTCGGCAACTAATGTTTCGTGATGTATTTTCGGCCAAACAGGAAGTGGGTGCCTTTTTGCTCTAGTTGGGAACTGCCGTGGCAAATAGAGAGCCACTGATGCGTTTAGGTACATCGCCGTGAAGCGTATTAATATTTAATCTGATGAAAGGAGGCTTGTGTTGCTCCTATCAAGACCATCGAACAACACCCGCTGGTAAAAGGCCAGTCCTAAATTTTTATTGCAAGTGATCAGGTCAGGCTGTCCGAGCGACAAAACGTGCTCACTGCGACGGGTCCGCTGTAGACAGGATTTGAGGTATATTCATTCAAACTTACTACCTGCTTGCGCACAGCCTAGCATGAAGTATTCAACATCTATTCGATTTCCGTATAATGTTATAATTACTATTTGATAATACTGATCAGACGAATTCAATACTCTATTATTGCTGACATTAAATTTGATATTTTTGCTGCGAGTCTCCAATATTTATTTATGGGACTAATCATAGATCTAATTTATTAGCGCTAAAAGCTTATTAACAATAAAATTGACCATCGGTGCCACAAGAGAGGTGCGAAGAGCCCTCATCACGTGATGAAGTCGCCATATGACGTCATCATGACGATACAGCTCTTAAAATGTTGTGACGCTACCATGACGTCACAGTAACGTAATGTGACATGACGTCGCATCATGGTGTCATCGCATAACATCGCAGCTCAGTCAAAGGTGGGCCGATCATGAAGCTGTGCAAAACCAGGTGAGGAGCAGAGAGCTTCCGATGCCTCCGATCTTGGATGCAGTGTTAGCTGCATCCAAGATCGCATCTTGGACGCCGTTAGCTGCAGACGGCTTTCAGAGATGGTCAATACATCGACTGAGAAGAGGAAGAAAACGATAGATTTCGCTTTCGAGTCGTATTAGGCGAATGCACAAGAGATCCATCTAGTTTTTTTTTTTTTTTTGCATTGCCATTCAGTCGCTGCAGTGCCGCTCCAACAGGCCCAGATTCTTTTGAAGGGAGCCCTGCAGCTCCTTCAAAGCTGTTCGCGGAAAAATGCACTTGACTGGTCAGCGGTGTCATTCATATGCATATTCGTGACGTACCTCTGAGAGCAAACCCGAGATTTAAATGTTTTTTCCGTAAATAAATGTTTCATTCATGAACCTTCTGTTAATTACACTATTTCATGACTGAGTAAAGAATAGCTGAAAACCCTAAGAGATCTGGTTATACCTTTTATTCACAAAGCCACTTAATTGCTCTCGAGATTTTCTTACCCTCCTTGGATTCCTACCCTCCTTAGATATGGATTATGTCCCAGTGACATTGAAATCACTCGCAATACGGTAGCCCTGCTGCGTATTCTTATTTTTTTGTTTCATGTTCTAACATGCTTACGCTTCATTAATGTAATGACGGCGTATTAAAGTAATGAACCTCTACGCATTGCCATGAAAAATATTGGGGCCGATATTCACAAATAAAACGACCTATAATAAAACATTTCACGACAGACTATTTTAGTCAGTCACGATGAAGGACATATCATTAGTGAAGCCGGATGGCTAATGAAAAACGCACTTACGAAAGAAACGTTTTATGAATTTGGACGGAAAACCTAAAAATGGGTGAGTTATTGTGTATGCATTCTTCTCGTAGATATCTACAACTTACCTTGTCGTTTGACGTTTGTTCTTATGTAAGACAGTGTACCTTTTTTCTGAGATGTGCACTTAGCGTATCATGTGAAACTGATTGCCGGGGTTTGCGATTACATGACAATTTTTCCGATGCTCTCTTAAATCTTGTGTTTAACATCTTTCTGTCTGTCTGACATATCTCGCAAATGACAAATGTCGCTGCGAAAGTGTACATTGCTACTCATAAAAACTACTATTTTGTCACAGGTGCATAATAAAATAGAACGAATAGTAATGGAATCACATATGATGACACAGGCACATGCCGAAGAATATGTCAGTGCCCCATTCATTATTCTTGTCATGTTACTTTGAGCATTTTACACGCGTTGCAATTTGGATGTACGCAGTCCTTTTTTTTTGAAGTTCAAACGGTCCTGTGGCAGGATGTCGAGACACCGGTAAATCTTTAACACGTGGCAGAGCTTTTGCGTGAGTATCTAATGCAATTTTTTAATGTTTATGCAGACACCTAATGATGGCACTAGACGTACACCATTTATAATATAGCTAACTATTCTAATACGTGCAGAAGAACGGACGAATATTATTACAAACTTTGTTTTAAGATCTGGTGAATGGGTTCATTTTTGGCGATCCTCTTCAAAACACAACAGGAAGAGGCGCTGGTGAAGGCGATTAAGGATTTAATTGATAGACGCAGATACAGAGGATGCTGTCAAAAGTGGGAGTGGGCATTTGTTGCTTTTGTGACGCTGTGCATTTAGGAATAATTAAAGCTCTTACTAGCCAGGTTTATGGACCGTTGTTGCGTGGTTTAATTGATTGAAGGATATATTCTAAAAAAAAAGTTTCTATACTCTTTTTCTTTTTTCAAGTGCTGTTTGCCACGTATGAGACTCGCTTCAGAAATGATTGTACCCTCTTCTGTGAGTCATGTGATCCACAAGAAAGCTTACGTGCCTCTTTAAAGAGAGTCGTATATGCGGCATGTCAGGACTCACCCAAAATAATACGATATACTCGTTGGTTTTTCTCATGAGAATAAGCACGGAGCCAAATAGTGGTGTCTGTTCTTAAAAAGTCCTCTCACCCGGACATTCAGCTTCACCTGGACGGCGTCACTTTCCCCGCTGCTGCTGGTCGCTTTGACGTGGATGTCTCGTACTCCAGCAGAAAGCGGAACCACCGGAAACATGGCGGTACGGCCATGTCCAGGTGGAATTCGGAGCTTTCGAATCGCAGACGGCTTGCCTAGCTTGGCGCCGGAGCAGATGTCGGTGGTTCCCAGCAGCATCACTCGTGCCTGCAATAGCAGATAAGAAGCAGCCCTGCGTCCAATTCTATATTTTAAATGATGTGATATCGGCCTCGGGGTGACAAGAATGGAACAACGCTTATCTGTGATTGCTAAAGTGATGGCTACTCGTAGATGCCACTCAATATGAGGCACCGTGTGATTGATGCGCGTTATATCAATGGTGGTGTAATGCTGACCCGAAAATCGCGGGGTCTACCCCCACCATGGCGGTCGCATTTCGGTGAACACTAGAGGCATTGTGCGATGTCGCGGTGCCTTAAAAAACATTGGATGATCAAAATTTTCCGAACGACGTGTCTCCTAGTTTTATCATGGCTATGGCCCGTAAGATCCTCAAATTATTTGTGTATACGAGCTGTCCACTCACGCCGTAGCTGCTCCAACCCGTATCAACCCACAAGATGAGTCCTCGCAAGATCAGAAAAAGAAAGCACATTAATTGGAGGCGCCGGTGCAACCTTCCTGTACTCTATTGATTCATTTTCGCCTCACTAGCACTACCAAACTAAAATATTCTCGTCTTTTGCGCACTCCTCGATTATCAATACTCAGTGAGGTAAGAGGGTCTTGTCTAGCGAGCCAATATCATTCGTTTGCATACCAAACAAAAGTAATCTTCGAATTGTAAACAGCGTTTGTTAAAAAAATCCAGGCTTCCGTTCATGCTTTAATCTTCACTTTATTCTTCAAGTTTGATGTCAAGAGATCGGAATATGATCTCAGTTGAATGACATTACATTACAGCACCCCACTGCCGTGGTTATTTACCTAAAGCAGCTTTCCACCCGTACAGCGCTCATCTAGGTTATTGCTCGCTAAACTAAAGGAAAATAACTGCTTCATGTTCAGGGTATATTCAGTGAACTACAGATTCTCAAGAAGAGCAACTTGCCAGTCCGCGATATATCGAAGCATGCCAGCTCTTTTGTCGCAGAAGACGCGAGCAAAGATGAAATAAACATTGATATCTCTTATAAACAATAAATGAATACAGCATGCGCTCGAAATGGCGGATCATATTTCCACGTTCCTTTCCTCAAGTATTGTTCTCACCCCGTTACACTAGGTTCAGCGCAAACCGCGCTTACGATTTTAGAGAAGCTTTGAGGCTTTAGTAGATCGTTTTGATAAGATTACGCCCACTTCCTGAACGTCACAAATTATTCGGGAACCTACGTCGCCCCTAGCGATAACGCTGGAATAATCTATGACAAGGGTATAAATGCCGACACGCTTCGCCGCTAGTCAGTTGATCGGCGGCCGCTGCGTTCGCCGCTATCAGTGTAAGTGTGCTACTGTAACACAACTTTCCGTTTACCGGGCACAGGTTCGCCCAAAGTAATAGTTTGATCTGACCTTCCAGTCTCCCGCCTTCAGCCCCGAAACGACCTCATGGCATCTGGTGGAGGTGCTGCTTCGTTCATGTACCGGACGCCCCCGTCAAGCTGTGAACACAGCCTACGTCGCGAAGAAGACACCGACGCCAGCCATGAGCACTGAACAAGCCGCAGGCAGCAGGGTTTACCACCGGAGTACGGTTCTCTACAAGACAAGACTGGGAAGACCAAGAGCATGACATCGATCACGGCAACGATGACAACTGCTGCGCCACAGCCCACGATCGTGATGCAGCAGCCCAGGGAACCTCCGATTTTCCGTGGGTCATCGTTTGAAGATCCGGAGACCTGGCTGGAGACCTATACGACCAGGTGGCCACCCTGAACATCTGGGACACAGAAGAGAGGCTACGCCGCGTCTACTTTTATTTGGAGGATGCGGCTAGGACCTGGTTTGACAATCGGGAGTCTGCTCTTCAAACATGGGATCGCTTCTGTGGCACATTCCTGGATACGTTCAGGAGCATCGCCGGCAAGGAAAGAGCCGCGACGCTGCTGGAAACCAGAGTGTAACTCCCGAACCAAAATGCAACAATCTTCGTGGAAGGAATGAGGTGACCTCTCCACTACTCTGACCCCGACATGGTCGAGGAGAGCCCCGTCGCGGTGGTCTATTGGCTAAGGTACTCGGCTGCTAACCCGCAGATCGCGGGCTCGAAACCCGGCTGCGGCGGCTGCATTTCCGATGGAGGCGGAAATGGTGTAGACCCGTGTGCTCAGATATGGGCGCACGTTAAAGAACCCCAGGTGGTCGAAATTTCCGGAGCCCTCCACTACGGCGTCTCTTATAATCATATGGTGGTTTTGGGACGTTAAACCCCACATATCAATCAATCAATCATGGTCGAGGAGAAAAAAAGTTAATTTTTGCATGCGAGGAGTCAAGCAGGAACTCTTCGCTGGACTGATCCAAAATCCCCGAAGACCGTCCAGGAATTCTTGTCGGAAGCAAGATCAGTGGAAAAGACGCTGGAAATGCTAACCCGCCACTACAATCAGTGAACGATGGAAGACAACCCAGCTCTTCATGCTTTCGGCTCCGACGACCTTTGCAAAACAATACGAGCGATCGTACGGAAAGAGCTGCGTAAATTGTTGCCGGCCTCACAGCATCCTGTCGACCCGATCGCCGACGTTGTACGCCAGGAAGTCCAGAAATTTTTCTGGGCAGCCGAACCAGCGTAGCCTGAGCCACAAGCCATGAGCTACGCTGCTGCAGCACACTGTCATGGCCTCCTCCACGCCCACGCCAAAACGCCGCCCCGTCGCACTTCCGTCGCCAGACGCCACCGCAACCATCACCACCACTGACTTCCTACCGTTCGCCAGCGGGCCAGCGCAGCGCGCCGAGGAAAACCGACGTTTGGTGGGCACTTGACTATCGCCCGCTCTGCTACCACTGCGGTGAGGCCGGGCACACCTACCGCCGTTGCCATACTGACAAATGGGTCTACGGGGCTTCGTCATCAACGCGCCGTGCCCACAACTGAGTGAACGACCACATGACATCGCCGACTACCTCGCGGGAGCGCAGTCAACACCTTGACAACCTTATCGTTCACCGTCGCCAAGCTGCTACGCCTCACCGCACCGCGGGCAGCACACCGGCTCTGTTGGGGGGCCGATCTCCGAGACGATACTCGGATAACTAAGGGCAGGAACCGATGGAGGTGCGGTTTCTGTACGATGAACTACCGAAGATCCCCCACCACTGATAACGACGACGCCGCCACGAAATCTAAAGCACCACCGCAAGACAAAAAGGGTCTTGACGTAAAACCTTCACAGCCTGAAGAAAACGCCACGAGGCAACGTGAAAGCAGCGGAGCAAACAGACGTAGCCGTGACCAGACGCCACGACTCAACCGCAACACACGACGACGAACCAGCGACATCGACACAATATTCGACGGCCACCTCGTCACTGTTCTCGCCGATACTACAGCCGACTATTCCGTTGTCAGTGGGTCTTTCGCAACGAAATTGAAAAAAGTGAGAACGGCATGGCAAGGTCCCGAAATCCGGACCGCTGGAGGTCACCTAATGACGCCGACTGGAGTCTGCACAGCAAGAATCACCATCATTAACCATACGTATCATGCGAGCTTTGTAATCTTACAGAATTGCTCCAGGGATGTGATAGATGGAATGGACTTTCAAGTCAACACTGCGCTATCATTGACCTGAGGTCTGAGACAATAACACTTACCTCAGAAAACACGCTGCCGAGCCCTACAACGCCAAAGAATCAAGCATTACTTGTGCTAAAAGAGCAGGTCACCGTGCCACCTTTCCTCAGCGTCGTCGTTTGCATTGGTACTGAAAAAGCCGAAAACTTTGATGGCGTCGTCGAGGGTGACCAGCACCTTCTTCTGAATTGTCAGATTTGCGTCGCAAGAGGCAAAGATGAGCTGCGTGACGGCAAAGCAAAGGTGGTGCTGACAAACTTCAGTCAAGAACATAGGCCGTACCACCTCAACCGTGGTACGGCGGTCGCCCACATCGACGAATTCGTGGAAGCCAGCAATTCATTCACCCTCTTCGATGCTGCCGAGGCTGCTTCGACGAATTAAGGTGCCGAACCAGATTTGGATGTCAACCCAACCCTTCCAAAGTGCAAACAACACGAGCTCAAGTCCCTACTCTTGCAATTAAAGTACTGCTTCTCGTCATTATCGCAAATTCGACAAACCACAGTCGCAAAACGTGGCATCATAACACAAGAAAGTGCCCGACTGACCATGCAGTTCTACAAAGCCCATACCATGTCTCGACGTTTGAACGCGACGCCGTGAAAAAACAAGCCGACGAAACGCTACGCGACGCGACGACATCATTCAGCCACCCAAGAGTCCATGGGCGTCACCCGGGGTATTAGTGAAGTAGAAAGATGAGACCGTACGTTTTTGCGTCGATTACCGTAGCCTGAAGAAAATCACAAAGAAGGACGTCTACTCTCTTCTATGTATAGCCGACGCACTGAATCATCTCCCCAACGCGAAGTACTTTTCTTCGATGGACCTCAAAACGGGCTATTGGAAAATGGAGGTTGGCAAGAGAGATCGAGTGAAGACGGCTTTTATCACACCAGACAGCCTCTTGGAGTTTAAGGTCATGCCACTTGGTTTTTCCTCGGCGCCTGCGACATTCCAGCGCGTTGTGATTATCGTGTTGGCTAGATCGAAATAGCTGACTTGCCTCGTGTACTTGGGTGACGTCGACGTGTTTTCCTCCAGCTTCGACGAGCATTTCCAGCGCTTTGAAGCGGTACTTGAAACTATCAACACTCCTGACTAACCCTGAAGCCAGAAAAGTGCCGCTTCACGTACGAAGAGCTGTTGTTTCTGGGACACGTGATAAGCAAGTCTAAAGTCCATCCCGACCTGCGGAAAACATCCATCATCGCTGATTTCCCGTAACCTACTGACAAGAAGGCTGTACGCCGATTCCTCGAATTGTGCGCCTATTACAGGCGCTTCGTCAAACGTTTTTAACAGATCGCCGATTTGCCGATTCACGAAAAGCAACGTCGAATTCAGGTGAGAAGTGGCACAAGAGGAAGCATTTCAGGCACTTAAACAACGTCTC